TGTGGATAAGGTCGGGCAAGTCAGGGACAGGTAGGGCAGTTAGTGGCACGGGTCCAGAAGGTCTGAGGGGCAGTCAGGGCGGAAGTCGGAGGAGTGGATGGGCAGGGCTAGAGCGGGGCTCCCCCCCCAGTGTCCTCTTTTTTGATTGTGGAAATATGGTAACCCTAGTCCAGGGCATCCCACTCCAATGATCAGAAACCTTCTCCCCATGGCCAGCCTCCAGCAAGCCCAGCCCGGCTCATCTCGTCCTCTTTGTTCTCTTGCCTCCTTTGGCCACCATCACTCGGCCCCTTCCCACCTCCACCCCCCAGCTGTGGTTACGGCACCATCTGACCCCACTCGGCCCTTCCCTGTCCCAGCTCCAGCCGGGATCTGGCGTCTCCCAATATGGGTGCCCAGCACTGGAGTCAGGCTTCCAGCTGAGCTCGGCCAGCCCCTGGGAGCCCAATGGGGTCACCTTCCCCCCAGACCTGGCTCACCCCAGCCTCTCTGGGGTTCAGTGTGTAGGGGTGCAGGGGGATGAGGAACGCAGTGGCACAGGGTGACAGGTGCAGGGATGCTGGGGGATGGGGTGCCAGGGTGCAGGGGTGACTGGAGTTGGGGTGTAGGGTGCAGGGGGATGGGGTGCAGGGGAGATGGGGGACAGGGTGTAAAGGTGCAGGGGGATGGGGAGCAGGGACGCAGGGGACACAGGGTGACAGGTGCAGGGATGCTGGGGGATGGGATGCCGGGGTGACTGGAGTTGAGGTGTAGGGGCGCAGGGGGATGGGGTGCAGGGCAGATGGGGGATAGGGTGCAGGGGTATGGGATATGGGGCACAGGGGGACGACATGCAGCGGAGCCAGGGGACAGGGTGCAGGGACACAGGTGTGCAGGGGCCATGGGGTGCAGGGTGACAGGAGTTGGGGTGTGGGGGATAGGGGGATGGAGTGCAGAGGGACGGGGTGCAGGGGCACAGGATGTGGTGTCAGACCAGACTGAATTCACCTGTCACAGACATGGAGACAGGCCGGCTCTCCCTGGATGGCACCTCTCGCCCAGCGCGCAGTGTCCAGTATACACAGACATACAGCCCGGCCGTCCCCGTCTCAGCCCTGAGCTCCAGCCGGGCGCCCCCAGTCGGCTCAGGGACCCCGTCAGCGATCAGCCCCCCTCGCTGCCTGTAGAATCTGTACCTGGCCACCCCCTCACCCCGGGGAGCCAAGCACCTGAGGGTCACCCGCTCCCCTGGGATGTACACGGGGTGCGGGGGGAGCCAGAGGGGGCCGAGGGGCAGGGGGCGGCTCTGGAGTAGATGGAGAGAATGGGGCGGGGGAGAGGGAAAGAGACAGCTCAGATGAGACCCCCCAGCTCATTCACCAGTGATCCTGGAGATGGGGACCTGCCCCCCAGTGAGTCTGTGCCCCCAACCCCCCCATTTACCCCCTGCAGCCCAGATCCCCGGGGGGGGGCAGCACCAGAGCTGGTGTCATGGGGCAGCCGGTTAGATCGCCAGTGAGAGACCCCCCACCACCAGGCAGCCCTCGTCCCCCCAGCCATGCCAGGCCACACGCAGAGCTGGGTGTGCCCCTATGATCACCACCTGCCATGGGTCAGGCTGTGGGAGCCGGTGGATTCAGACCCCAGGGTCGAGCCCCACTGCCCGGCCCCCACCCGTGGGCACCACATTACACCAGCGCCTCCTGCTGTCTGGCTCTGGGTCCGTCACAGAGCAGCTGGGGGAGGCTGGGGAGTGCTGGGGTCAGAGGGGGAGGTGTGGAGGTCTCATGGCACTCTGGGGGAGCTGCGATGTCACGGCCAGGGTGGTCTGAGGGGTGGGAGGGGGAGACTGCAGCTGGCCTGGGGATCGGGGCTATGGCAGCAGGGCCAGGCCTGCATTCAGACTGGACCAGGATCCCTTGTTGGGACCGGATCCCCTTCCCCCGGGTGTCCCATCGGTCCTGCTCCAGTTGGGGTTCCTCCTCCGGGGACGGGGCTGCCCAGGATCGTGCCCGGCTTCCAGCTGAGCTCTGCCCAGTGCCTTCTCCACGGGCATTAAACCCGCCCTCTCCACAGGAGACCTGCGTCAGCCCAGGGTGATGTCAGCCTTTCTCCTGGCCGCGGCCCCTCTTCCTCCTGCATCGACCGACACCCCCAGGTCTCTCTCCTCCTCCCTCATTCCCAGCACATGGGTCCCGGCTCAGAGCAGCAATTCTTGGGGTTAGTCCCCACGGGCAGGACCTGGGCTTGGGGGTGAAATTTCCCCCATTTCTATCACTCCCCACGTGTGACGGGCGTCCAGAGACTTGTTCCCATGCAGGAGGAGGAGGGGAGGGGGGTGGACTAAGCCCAAAGGTCCCCTGCTGAGGTCTCAGGGCTCCGCCACACTCATCCTGGGAAAGGAGCAGTGGAGAGGTCCTCCAAGGGGCCTAGAGTGGTTGTGAGGAAGGAACCAATCAGAGGGGCTCCAGGGACGGCCAAGCAGGGCCGGGGGCCGTATAAAAGGAGCGGCAGGAGAGAGCAGCAGGTAGTTGCTGCTGGGAGCGGGAGAAGAGAGGGCTGCTGCCTGGGTGGAAGAGCAGCAGGACCAAGGAGTTTGCTGGCAGGGACCGGGGGAGCAATGAAGGAGCCAGGGTTGCCGGGTGTCTGGTTTTTGGCCGGAAAGCCCGGTTGAAAAGGGACCCCGGCACTGCCGACCGGGCCGTTAAACGTCCGGTTGGTGGCGCAGTGGAGGCCCGGGGCTAAGGCAGGCTCCCCACCTGCCCTGGTTCTGCGCGGCTCCTGGAAGCGGCTGCCAGGTCCTTGTGGCCCCAGGCGCATGGGCAGCCAGGGAGGCGCCACACGCTGCCACTGCCCCAAATGCCGGCTCTGCAGCTCCCATTGGCCGGGAACCACAGGTGGTGCCTGTGGGTGTGCGGCAGCGCGTGGAGCCTCCCTGGCTGCTCATATGCCTAGGGGCTGCAGGGACCTGGTGGCCACTAACTGGGAGCTGTGATAAGCGTTGCCAGGATCCCAAACCCTGTACCTCACCCCAAACCCCAGCCCTGATCCCCCTCCTGCACCCCAAACCCCTCATCCCTGGCCCCACCCCAGAGCCCACAG